AACACGCCCCCCCCCCCCCATTCTGGGCTCTTGGTTTGGAAAGAGGGGAGGGGGGAAGGGAGAGAGAGAGAGAGAGACCAGAGCATTGGAACAGGGGCGAGGGCCCGCTCTGGGGGAAAGGCTGACTTTGGGGATACCAACAGGAGAAGGTGATACTTCCCACCTAGACAAAGGGGCCCAGCCCTTTTCTGTCCGTTAGGCACCTTATCGGCACTAGCCAAGGGCGGCAGGGGAAGGTGTTGGTTCAAATGCTAGTTAAGAGGTGTCTCCAGCCTGTCATGGTTACTGAAAAAGGTGAGAGAGGGCGGGGGAGGGGGCGACACAGAGCCCATCCAGAAATACTGAACAGCCAGAGAGATTCAGAGGGGATGGGGAAGCCAGAGGAAGTAGAGAGGGAGAGGGGGAGGAAGACTAGAAAAGAGGGCGAATGAAAAACAAAAAGAGCAAAGGAAGTTAAAGGCCAAGGAGCAGAGATGGACGAGGAGAAAAGAAACCAAGAACAAGATAGATGGGGGGGTGGGGGTGGGATGTAAAGGAACGGAGGAAGAAAGACCATGGGTCTACAGCCATAGAACCCAGCAAGGAGGTTAAGAGAGAGAGAGGGAGGGAGGTGGGCACCCTGTCTGGCCCAACCAAGAGACTGAAGCTGACCCTCCCTGGAAGAAACTGACCCCCAAGACCTTCAAGGACTTTTCTAAAGAAACTAAGTTCTTCAAAGAGGCTGTCGAGGGGGATGGTGTGAATGCTGGACTCCCTGAGGGAAATCAAGCCTCGCAGGTCTGCGCAGAAGTCGTCCTCTGGGCTCAGAGCTGTGTGTGGGGGGGGCGGGGGGAGTCAGCGTTGGGCAGCACAGGGGTGCTGTGCCTTGCAGAGGGCCCTTGTCCAGTAAGCTGGGCGCCCCCAGGGAGCTGCTTCCCTGGGATCCTTGATAGGAAAGTCACGTCCCCCCTTGGGGTAACTGAGCACAAAGGAGAATGGGTGTCCTAGTCAGTTTCAAAATTTGTCATTATCAAAAGAGCTGGGACCCAAGGCGCACTGGGCAGAGACAGTGGCCGGGCAACCAGAAAGCCCCTGCTCAGTAAAAGTTTATGTATGGACCGACCCCGTAGGAAACTTCTTAATTAGGCCTCAGAGCCCCGGAGAAACACGGATGTTCTTATGTCAACAGAGTTCCCAATTTAGCGACACCTCGGACTGAAAAAAGCTCCGCGGCAAACAGGGGTGAAAGTTTAAGAGGGAATAAGCGTGTAATAGTCTCTAGCCAGACCTCACACATGCTAAAGGGAATATTTACAGCAAACTTGCCAAAGTAAACGACCCCGCCTACCCACCCTCCTTTCCCTCTCCTCCCCCCTTTTTGGTAAACTTCAGATAAACACCCTTCGGTCACAAAAGGGTCGGCCTGTCCCCTGAATAGTTTGAGGCAGGCAGTGTTGTAGGGAAAAGGGAGATCCCGCCCACACTTCCCCTGCGTTTTGTGGGCAAAACTAGTATCCCTGCCGCATCCATGGCCTGGGCTGAGGGTGGTTGATTTGGTTTCACATGTGCACAGACGAAATTTACTCCGAGACTTCTCTGTCTCTTCCCCCATTTTAACATCTGCACCCAACACTCTCTCTATGAATCCCACGCTGTGGGCATTAGCAGATATGGGAAGGCTATTGTTGTTACTCAAAATCAGGCCTACAAGGAAGTGCACATTCTTTTTGCAAAAGGTGGAGAAATAGATGAGGACACCAGAAGTTCCGAGGGTCCTCTTGAATCCAAACTTTGTCCTCCTTCCCCTGTCCTTAAAGTACTACTTCTCAGACTCTGCGGAGGCCCTGGCTCATTCAGTGTTTCCCCGTGTGACTTTTGTTGACAGTGAGGTGGAGGGGGGGAGGGGAAGGGAGAGAGAAAGAGAGAGAGAGAGAGAATGAGAATCGAGGTCTGCAAAGAGGGTGAAAAAAAAAAAGGGCCGTGTAGGGCCCGCATCTGGAGCCTACAACCCGCTACAACCCAGGCCGGGGGGCGCCAGCCTTGTGGGTTCCCCTGGCGGCCCGGCCTGGCACAGGTCCTTGGAATACGTTAGCCAAAGTTTAACTCGAATCCGGCGGCCACCAGGCCGCTTTTGTTTGTTTGCAAATTAATCACCCAGCGCACGGCCGGCGCCAGAGTGGGTTTATCGCCCACCGGGAGGGGGGCGCGGCGGCCCCGCAGAGACAAAGAGGAGTTCGCACCTTCCCGCTTTTGATCCCAAGTTACCGAGGCCTCCCTGCATAATACGAGCCTCCTGGGGCCGAGTCTGGGAGGTCAGTCATAATTGGCGGAAGTTTGCAGACCATTAGCAAGATGTCGACATTTTCGATTCAGAACCCCGCAAAACTTTCTTCTTCTCCTCCCCTTCCCTGCGCGCTAGATTGGGAATGGGGGTCAGGAGAGGCAACTGGGGCGACCTCAGGGTTAAGTTAGAGCTATGGGCAAAAACGGGGCATTGAGGGAGGGGGTCTTGTGAGGGGCAGAAAAGACCCGGTCCACGCTGGGGCCAAAGGCAAGTCGAGTTCTTTACAAATGAAACCCGCAAGAGCCCCTTCCGCGTCCCAAACAGAAAGGAGGCCAGCGCGCCTCGGAGGACCAAGAGAAACGTCTCCCTCCTGTGCATCTGGACTCTTGAGGCACCGAGTGCGTGAGGACAGTCACATCGTGGTTGCAGATCCCCCCCACCACCACCACCACCACTCGGAGTGGCCGGGCAGAGATTGGCCCGCGGGGGCAGGCAGAACCCGATCGCGGGGATTTGGGGCCGCTCCAGAAAGCGCAGCGAAGCTGCCCCAGGCTCTGGCGGCGAGCAGTGCGGAGGGGGTGGGTTTTTGTCTCCAGGGACTCCTGAAACCCTGCAGTGACCTCAGTGGTCAGCGCCAGGAGTGGGGAGGCCTGGCCGCAAGCGACGCGGGAGGGGGAGTTTGGAGCCAACACCCTGGGCCCTGCCACCTCTTTTCTTCTCTCTCGATCTTCCTAACAGCCGCCAGAGAGAGACCGAGAGGACGCCAGAGAAAGACAGACCTAAAGGAAAATAAAGGGGGCGAGATGGCGAGCCAGACTGAGTTCGCAGAACCACTCCATTCTCTTTGTGACTTCAGGGAATTCTCAGTGCTGGCGCCAAGCGCTCTTAACCATGTGCGTCAAAAATGCGAGGCTGGAAAAGCTTGTCGCCTCCAAAGTTCCGCCCCTATCTCGGTGCGGTTGGCCCACAAAGGAAATGCATTTCCCCTCTTCACTTGCTCCCACTTTGGAGTCTGGAGCTGGGGGCGTAGGGGGTAGAGCAGGCAAAATGGAAAAGAAGACGGGGCGGTCCACTCAGAGACACGCACATGTCTTCATCCCTAGGCCCTGAATCAGCCCTTTCTCTAAATGAACAGTGTCCCCAAGAAGTCCCTCCAAGCAGGGATGGCCCAACTCATGCCCCCCATCCCCACCCCAGAAGCGAGAAATGTGGTTTAGGGAATCCTCTGACCCGGGCAGGGACCTGCGGTCACAGTTACCAATTCCGCGACAGGTTGGATCTGTAAGATCGGGTTGCCTTCCTCCCCTTCACGCCCCCACCGTACCTGAACTGGAACCAGTCTCTTCGCCTCTAGGATAGGGGCGTTTCACGGTTTGTTTTACAAATTCACCCCTGACTACCGGCGAGATAAGTCCCGGGTGGAGAGAGAACCGAGGCACCGAGATAAGTGCGATGCCTGGAGAAGATATGAAGCTGGCGCACCTCCCCCTCCCGGCTCGCCCACCCCTGACCCGCGGCTCCGCTCCGAGCTGGCCTCCGCGGGGAGGGCAGCGGCGTGGCGGGGACAGGCCCAGAACCTAGTCCGGCGCCGCGTTCACTTTGTCCAGATCGCCAGTCTCCCCTCCACACTCACACACGCATTCAGGTGGAACACGAGGAGCCCGAATACAGACAGAAGACCGGATCTAAAAGAGCTGCTAATGCATTTCACGAAAAATCCCCAGTCCGCCTCCCCGAGTGAGCGCAGAAAGGGAGGGCGGCGCAGGCTGTGTACGTGTCTGCGTGTACGTGTTTTTCCGCGGGTGGCTTGGTCCCAGTGTGCTGGCCCGTGTTTGCCTACTGATGTGCTGGGGGTGTTTAGGTCTCCGCACCCGGGTTCTGGTGGGGCACGGTGAAGAAGGAGCCCCGCACGTGTGTGCTGAGATCCGGCCGCATCCGTGTGCTCGTGTGTCCGCGAGCCCAGATGCAGGGGAGACCGGCAACGACAGACACCCGAGCTCGGCAGCCCTGGATCGGCAGCCGGGCGGAGCTTGGCTCCACGTGGGGCTGGAGAGCGCGCAAGCCCGGAGTCTGGGTGCTCGCTTCCCCGCGGCTGCAGGAGGCTTTTGTGGCGCTCAGCGGCCGAACGGCAGCTCGCAGGAGGCTCACCCGTCCGCCTGGCTCGCCGGGGGCTGGTTACTAAGAGGGTGAGCGAGAGAGAAACGGCCGCGGCGGCGGAGAGGCGAGGCGAGGCGAGGCGAGCCGAGCGCGCGAGAGGCGAGCGCCCCTGCCCGGCGCCCGGCGCTCTCTCCGCCTTCCTGGCCCAGCTCGCTCGCTCCCTCCTCCCTCCCCTTCCTGCCTGGCCCTGCCTCCTCCCTCGATCCCGGGCTGGATGACTGAGGCATTTCAGACTTGGGCTGAGCAAGAGCAAGCGAGCAAGCTCTAGGGCTGTGGCGATCTCTCGATAAGCCACCTAGAGGCGACTCAGTGCGCGCGCTCCTCGGTGGCGCCCGCCCTCCCTCTGATCATGTTGACATATTCACAGGACAGGCAGTAGTACCGATGCGGCGCTGCGACGTTACAGTTTCCGACACCTTCTTTTTATAACTCGGCTCTATCCCCCCAGCACTCGACCTGTGAAAACCACGCCTATGCAGCAACACAATTGGTCCGAAAGCGTCAAAGAGCCAATCAAGAGGCCCCCGGCTCCCCGCAGCCCAGAGCAGAGCCCGACCTTCTAGAGCCGCCGAGCAGACGCCCGGGGAATTCTAGAGGCGGAGGAGGGTGGCGAGCAGCTCCGGCTGGCTGGCTCGCTCCCTCCCTCTCCTCGCGCTCCCTCTCCCACTCCGTCTCTCTTTCTCTCTCTCTCTCCCTCCTTTTCCATTTCCCCCCTCCATCCTCCCTGCCCTGCGCGTCTGGACGCAGATTTAGGAAGCGAATTTGCTCACGTTTTAGGACACGGAAGACGACAGGCGCGGGAGAAGAGCGCGGCCGGACTCGGACTGGAACCCAGACACCCTCCGGAGGCTCGGAGCGAAGGCAGGAGGCGGAGGCGAACGGAAGCCAGTGTGCAGTTCAAGTTGTGATAGCGCTGTTAGAAGAGGGCTTAAATCAGAGATTTTTTTTTTTTTTTTTTTAAAGGAGAGAGACTTTTTCCGCTCTCTCGCCGGCGGTTCCAGCCGGGTCCAGCGCAATTGCAGGCGCCTCCTGCGAGAAAGAGGCAGAGGAAGAGAGATAGGGGGCGGGGGAAGAAGAAGGAGAAGAAAAGGTAAAAAGTCTCTTAGGAGAACCGTTCGCACTTGCAACAAAGAACTAGGGGCTGGGGCGCGGTTCCTGGGACCCAGGGCCGGAGTGTCCATTTGGAGCAGAGCGGCAGGGCTCGGGCGCGAGTCGAGAGCCTGCTCGCTCCCCTCGCCTCTGAAACCGACTTGCAGGAGCGGCTTTTTAAAAACGCAAGGCACAAGGACAGTCAGTCCGGCGACTATGTCTCCCGATTACTCGCCTTGCCCTCTTTAAAAGCGGCGTTCTCCCCAAAAAACACTGACTCCCTCTCCCTTTGAGGTGCTGTAGTTGTGATTTCTTTTTGCTTTTTTTTTCTTTTTGCTTTTTTAACTATGCGCTGCTGTTAAAAAAAAAACAAAAACAAAACAAAACAGCAGCTGCGGACTTGCCCTCGGCTGGAGCCCAGCGCCCCGCCTGGAGTGGATGAGCCTCTCCATGAGAGATCCGGTCATTCCTGGGACAAGCATGGCCTACCATCCGTTCCTACCTCACCGGGCGCCGGACTTCGCCATGAGCGCGGTGCTGGGTCACCAGCCGCCTTTCTTCCCCGCGCTGACTCTGCCTCCCAACGGCGCGGCGGCGCTCTCGCTGCCGGGCGCCCTGGCCAAGCCGATCATGGATCAATTGGTGGGGGCGGCCGAGACCGGCATCCCTTTCTCATCTCTGGGGCCCCAGGCGCATCTGAGGCCTCTGAAGACCATGGAGCCCGAAGAAGAAGTGGAGGATGACCCCAAGGTGCACCTCGAGGCCAAAGAACTTTGGGATCAGTTCCACAAGCGGGGCACGGAGATGGTCATTACCAAGTCGGGAAGGTAAGCGAGCAGCGGCCCGTCCCCCAAACTCTCGGAGGGCTTTCCCTCCCGTTCTCTCCCACCTCGCAGACAGCCGGTCTGTCAGGAAATCTGGCTTCCAAGGAAACTTTAGTTCCCCGGGAAGCGTGCAGGGCTCCGGGGCCTGCCCCCGCGGGAGGACATTTCAGCTTACCTGGGTGTCTGCAGGCGCTGGTTTTTCCTGCCTAAGTCTGCAGCCTGGATAGATAGAATTTTTTCAGCCCAGCCCAGACATCTCTGCAGGAAGAAAGGACACCGTCCGACCGCAGGGAGTTTCGCTGCTCCCACCTTTCCGAGACAGTCTTCTGGTTTTGTTGCTGTTGTGTTTCTGTTTGATTCTGTGCTCAGAGGGAAAAACTTAGAGCCCCTTTCTTTTGTGTGGTAGCAAGAGGCCTGGCACCAGCTCCCCTGGCCCTTTCTGTCGCCCGGGCTGGCCTGCGGGTCTGGAGGGGGCTGGAGCCTGCGGCTGCCAGGGTCAGGGAGGAATCGAAGGGCAGCTGGGTTTGTTTGTCCACCCCGCTTCCCCGAGTCCGTAATCCAAGGGAGAGTTCAGCGGGCGATTTGGGGATAATTAAGATTATGTTTGCAGACCCGAGAAGCCAGTGGGGAGACCTCGACACATGCTTCTGTTTTATGTGTAAATACTACCAACCATAGAGGTCCTTGCCTGACCAAAATCTGCCTGTCACTTAATCACTGAGTTTTGTTTTGTTTTGTTTTTTAATGGCATTGAAATCTATCAGGGCATAAAAATAAAACACTGCTCGATGTCTTCAGCTTTCCGTGTCTTTTCAAGCTACACGAGGCCAAAGTTGGGCATAAACTTCCTCCAACCCAGGAGACATTTATTTAGCCAGTTTCACAGCAAAGTGCTTCCTTGAAGTCCAGAGCGCAGAATACCAATGCTTGTGGGGATAAACAGATTTGGTGGCCCAGTCTCACAGTCTGGGACCGGCCTGAGAAGTCCGGGGAGTGTGGTGAGCAGCTCCTAGGTAAACTGGTTATCAGGCCTGGGAGTCCACCCCACGCTACTCAATTCGTTTTAAGAAAGCACCGAAGTCCAGTTTCATTTTTCGCCAGCAGCGGGATTGCTTCAGAATGAACTCGACATTCATTTCCTTGATAAGTTAAACATTTCTCATCGACGGATGGTGGAAAATTCTAGCTTTAACTGACCACGCTTTAAAAATCCTACTCCAAGCGGTTTAGAACTACACACCCACAGGAAAAGCCATGGGCAAGACTTTCTCTAGAAAGAGGGCAATCTATAAAGTCACACAAGACAGAAAAATAGTTAAAGAAATTAGGGGACAACATAGAAAAAAGCAGTGCTACAATTCACTTGTTTTGAACCTTGGGCAATTTAAAGAGAAATTCAGCCTACGTAATACTTCTGCTGTGGCAGAAAACAATTTTGCGCCCAGCCACTGTACTCTGAACCCTGTAAGCCCATCCATGCATTGAAACTTTGATTTAAATATTGTAGGCCAAATAGAGAATCAAACCCAAGATTCTAAGTGACTTATTTTTTTTTTTTTCTTTTCCCTTCTCTCTTATTGCAGGCGAATGTTTCCCCCATTTAAAGTGAGATGTTCTGGGCTGGATAAAAAAGCCAAATATATTTTGTTGATGGACATTATAGCTGCCGATGACTGTCGATATAAATTTCACAATTCTCGGTGGATGGTGGCGGGTAAGGCTGACCCTGAAATGCCAAAGAGAATGTATATTCACCCGGACAGCCCAGCTACCGGGGAGCAGTGGATGTCCAAAGTTGTCACTTTCCACAAACTGAAACTCACCAACAACATTTCGGACAAGCATGGATTTGTAAGTTTCGCGGCTCCTTTCAGTAAACTATTATCTTTCTTCACTCTAGCCAAGGCACTGCTGTGCCCATGCCTTGTAAAATCGTGAGTTTCTGCTCCAACTTCTCTCTTTTTCCCCCTGGCCAACTTAGGGAACTCGTTTGATCTAAAACAGAGTGGCCGAGAAAGGAGTGAGAGACGGGGGTATTTCTCTCCCGAGAATGGGAGGCCTGGTCTGTCTAAAAGAGAGGCACTTACCCGCTCCTGTTCTGGGGCAGTTCTAGGTCTTGGGAAATGCCTGACCTGACAGTGAAGTTCAAAACCAATCGTTAAGCTAAAGCTCAATTTTAAAATGATGTGTTCATAAAGGTTTTAAGATAGCCTTCTCTTTTGAAAACAGCCATGGTATTTCTTGGGAGAGTGTGCAGGGTCGAAGCCTCCACTATGTTGGTTCAAGGGTGTGCTTTCATTTCGGGAAAGACGTTTTATTCTTTGACGCAAAAAAGAATTGAGCTTAGGTGAAAGTCAGGTTTACTAGAAACAAGACAGATCTGGGGCGTAAAAATTGTGTGTGCGTTGGGTGGACATATGTATATTCAGTGGGAGCATACTTAGAAACTTTCGGAAGACTTGGATTGCTTGTAAAAGTCAAGCAAAGGACCTTTTGCCCCCGGCCCCTACCCCTCCCCAACATTTCAATAAAATAAACAGTGATAAGCGAAGAATAAGCAGAAAGATTAGGCCCAGGAAGAGGAGAAGGGCGCGGAAATTTCTTCAGCGGGCAGGAATTGCATTTGAAGCCCTTGATTTGATTAAGGCATAAATATTCCTCTCTAGAGTTCAGCCTTTCAGGGCTTTAAGTGGATTGGGCTCGTCAATTAGTGGACGCTTAAAGGACTGAATCATTTTGTAAATTAAAATGCATGTTTTTTTCTATCTTTTAAGACTTTGGCCTTCCCAAGTGATCACGCAACGTGGCAGGGGAATTATAGTTTTGGTACTCAGGTAGGCTAGGGTTCAAGGTTCCGATGAACCTGAGCTGGTGAGGGTGGGGGGCACCCTTTGGAAATGGATGAGCAATTTGGATTCTGCGGAGGATAACATTTGTGGAATTGACAAGTGCCCAAAGAGGTGCTCTCTGGAGGTGGGCTCGGTACAAGCGTGGTGTACCCTCCGGTGGGGTAGCTGTCAACCTGGCAGGGCTCCTAAAATCCTGTCTGTCCCGCTAAATCCCTTGTTGCTCTGTGTCTCTCCTCCCCCTGCCGCTGCAGACTATCCTGAACTCCATGCACAAGTACCAGCCCCGATTTCATATCGTGAGAGCCAATGACATCCTGAAACTTCCATATAGTACATTTCGGACATACTTGTTCCCCGAAACCGAATTCATCGCTGTGACAGCATACCAGAACGATAAGGTGATCAAAGACGCTTTTTTTTTTTTTCCTTCTTAATTTCTCTGCTTTGCGTGAGGGTGAGAGTGTCGCAAGAGAATGGGGATGGGGGGGGTCTTGAGGTTTTTTGTGTGATTGGGTGGCCAGTCAAGCATTTAGGGAAAAGGGGTGCTGGCACGTTGCAGAGGCAGAAGGAAAAAAAAGAAAGAAAGAAAGAGGACTTGACCAGCTGGGACTCAATGCTGCGTGAAAAAAATGCCACACTAATTTTGCCAGTGAGAAGCTCCTATAATAACCACTGTCCCTGATGCCACCCGCCCCGCCCCCACCCCTGACCGCGGGGCTTTCTCCTGTTGGTTTCAAGGTTTACCCTCTTCCCCTGCAGGAAGAAGGATCCAGAAATCAGGTTCCCAAAGAGCTAGCTAAAAATTTAAGGCAAAAGCCATGGGGAACCCTGGGAGAAGAATCCTGGGAGAGATCAGCTCTTCTCCCTTAGCCAGAAATCGCGAGTAGCTGGCTGGTCTGGTTTTTATTACCTTTTATGCTGTTGTGTTTTTTATGGTGTGTGTGTGTGTGTGTGTGTGTGTGTGTGTGTGTGGTTGGAAAAACCTACTCTGATCACAGGGTCATGCTAATTGAGTTGTCTGAGGCTTCTGAGAGGAGGTGACCAAAGTCACCACTTCATTTGAAGTTTTTTTTTTTTTTCTTCTCCCTCGGGCCTGAGGCCGGGGATTAGGAGTGTCCCCAAATGGAACAGCAGGCAGCACCTGGTATGTAAAGTTATGGTGGCCTGAAGGTCATGGGCATGTAATGTAGCACAGAGACACAAAGTGACTCTTGCTGCTGATTCAGCAGTCACCAGCGTGGCTATTAGCAGGAGGTTGGGGGTGGGGGGTGGCTGCTGAGGACCCCTGCTCTTTAACTCCTGAACCCTGGACCTCAGTGAGTGCAGCTCACAGGATAACACCCTTCGTTCTGAATTCACTGTCACTTTAGGTGGATCCTCTGTGGCTGGCTGATGGGGGTGTTTCAGGTGTGCTTCCTTAGTCTGGAGACAAGATACCATGACCTCCTGTCCCTGCAAGTCTAGTGTGCTGGAATCTATTCCAAGAACAAGAATCCAGCCAGGGGGCCCTTTCCCTTCACCGGGGACCTCTGTAATGTTATCCCCGCCCCCCAAGGGAAGGGATTCCAATGATCGCACGCTATGACATTTCCCCTCGGTCTGCAGAATCCTGTGAATCTTAGGTTGTTACTGCAGTAATAAATTGGAGCGTTTTTGATCAGACAAAGAGGCCATGGGCCTTCTCTGCCTAATGGTGGTGGCAGAAGCATATAAATGCAAACAAATGTTGCCAGTGGTCATTCAGTCCTTTTAAATCTGTAATTGTCAAGATTATAATTCCCACCTCACCCAGCAAAAGAAAAAACAGAAAAATGAAACCCACTCCAGCACAAGGATAGCGAAACCCTATAAATTATTTTATCAGATTCACAGAAAAAGGTTGGAGTATGTTTGTGTGTGTGTTGTGTTTGGGGCCAAAGAAAAAAAAAGTGCCACAACATGTTTTATGATTAATCGCACAGTATTTTTTTTTTTTTGAAAAAGTAAAATGAAAGCATACTTTTAAGATCCACAGGTTGTCCCTTTTGACAATTCTGACAACTTTTCCATTTCTAAGCCCAAGCTGTCAGCTGCCCAGAGAAAAGAATGAGGCATTTCCCAGGCGGGGTCATTTCAGCCTGGAATCCTGGCTTGGCTTCTATGGGAGATGAAAGCGCTGGTCCAGTTTCCTTTGATTTTTATCTTAGGCCCCTCCAAACTTCTGCTATTATCTCCTCTCCCTTTCTCTTTACCCTGGCATATCCCAGTGACTCTCCTGTTGGCAGTCAGATTTCCAGTAGACTGCTAAGTTGGGGGAAACGCTCCCAGAACATTCTAGAAAAGGATGCCAATGTGTCTTTCTTGCTTGTGTGTCCTCCTCTAGATAACTCAGTTAAAAATAGACAACAACCCTTTTGCAAAAGGATTCCGGGACACTGGAAATGGCAGGAGAGAAAAAAGGTGAGCTGTGAGACAACTGCTTATTTCTCAGATAACTTAGAAAAATCACTTCGCTAGGCCCCAAGCCTCCACTGTGGAACGCAGGCACTTACATGGACGGGGGGAGGCATTTTCTCCCCTTCGCCACGTGCTTGCTGATTGCAGTCCCTGATTTTACCGCCTACACGTCCCCTTAAAGGAAATTAACTAGGCCACACCATGGTTCTCTCTGGAAGAAAAGTATTAGGGATAATCAGTTATAGACAGGTGCTTATTAATTCCTAATTAATTGAAGTTACTCCTAGGCAGGTCCCAGGAAGGCACTAAGCCATTCACAAAATGCTTTGGAATTTTCGCAATCTCGTCCTGCACATACCATCAGACAGAACTGAGGCCCCTGGAGAAATATGTGGCTCCCTTCTTCATGGGTACATGGATCATTTTGCATGAAGCAGACAGCTGGATAGTATATGAAAGAAAGCCTCCCCTCCCCCACCGCTTTCAAAGAATTTCTAAAATCCAGCAAATCAACCCAGATTTTTAGCGTATTCCCAGAGGGAGGGGCAGGCATTAAAAAATAATTGCTAACATTTAAATAGATTTTTTCCCTCCAATTAACGTGTTGGTGAACCGATCACAGCAAAGTGTACCATGAAATAACCACTTCCTCCCCAGCTCAGCGACCAGTGGGGAGTTGGTCTTTGGCTGGTCATGCTCCACAGGTTGAGTCCCTGGTTCCCCTCCCTCCGTCAGGCCGGCTGGTCAGCTGTCTCTTGCCAGCTCCAGCCTCCCCTCTTGCTTTTTGCTTTTAGACAAAACTTCACAGCCCAAGCCCATGCCCTTTCCCTAATGAAACCCTGGTCTTGAATAAAGGCAGCCTAAGCTGCCTTCTTCCCAATGTCCTTGTACCACAGGCTTTAGCCCAGTTAGAATGTCCAGGATGAGGCGTGGGCCTGTGACTGCCCCCGGGGCAAGCAGATTGCAGCACTGTGTAGTCCGCGGGCTAGTCCATGGGCGGGGGGCGGGTGAGGTGTGCGCACTCCCTGAGGAGTGGGAGACGCGTGGGGGAAATGTAGCTTCTGTTCTCTAACGCGGGCTGTGGGCTTCTGCAGAAAACAGCTCACCCTGCAGTCCATGAGGGTGTTCGATGACAGACACAAAAAGGACAATGGCACCTCTGATGAGTCCTCCAGCGAACAGGCTGCCTTCAGCTGCTTTGCTCAGTCCTCCTCCCCTGCTGTCTCCACTGTTGGGACGTCCAACCTCAAAGGTAAGTGAGCCTGGTCACCTGCATTTCTGGATTCCAGGTCTTGGAGGCCTGGAAGTGTTGGGGGCTGGGGCACGCACCAGGGCGCTTGCCATTCAACAGCTGCAGACCCTTCTGGAAGTCTGTAAACAGGAACCAGCATTCAAAAGGATGGTCAGGTGTGCCCCCTTGTGAGCTAGTATAAGGACCCCTCCGAAGCCCTTCCCTCAGACCTTAGTCTGGCTGTAAGGGTGGTATCTTTCTTGGTGGGGCAGCTTAGAAAACAAGCCTGGAGCACTTCTCTCTTCTCTTTCTTTCTCTCCCCCAACTGCCTGACTTTTTGCCATCTTTCAACTCAACGAGAGTGAAATGCGTTGAGCTGGGGGTGGGGGGCGGGGGGGGGGCGGGGGCGGGGGCGGGTGGGAGGCCAGGGATCCTCTACCACCTGGGACAGGGAGGCAGGGGAGGTGATGGAGAAGACATCCAGGGATAGGCAACAACCTGTGAGAGGGGAGATCCCAGTAGCGGAGGCAGGGGAGGGGGTTGGGGGAGGGGGTTGGGGGAGGGGGTTGGGGGAGGGGGTTGGGGGAGGCGGAGGTGGTTCAAATCCCCAGTCGGTTTCCTGTGTTTAGAGAGCAAAGAACTATTTATTTGGAACGACACACGCTCTCACCACGGGAAGAAACCTGGTTTTTACGTTTACTAAAATGCAAGTCCTTTATGTCTTCAATCCATTTAAGCTTTAAACATAAAATAAGATCCCTCCTTCTTTTTTTCCCAGTAGGACACCCGCAGAGGGTGTGGTAAAAGGAAAAAGAGCCTGTGACTGACTGGGGGCAGGGAGGGGGCAGCGGCGACCCAGCGCTGCCTACAGAGGTGGGCGCACAGACAGGCTCACCTGAGTGCGCCTGTTGGGGGAAGGGCGTTCATTGCCGCCGCCGCCCGCCAGTTTAGACCTCAGAGTTCTCTCCAGACAAATCCTTCCCAAAGAATTGGCAAACGTGTGGGAGGTACAGGTCCCCTTCTCTTGCTCAACAAAGGACCCCATGGTAACTCGGAGGTGTCCCCGCAGTGAATGTTAGTGTCAGTTTTTATTTTTAAAAGGTAAATTTGCATCAGGTGGGCTGACACAGTGGGAGCTCAATCCACGCTTGTAAAAAATGGTCAAATCTATTACGGATTTTGGGGAAGGTGCTCTGGGGGGAGGGGTCCAGTCTGTCTAAATCCTTTAAATTCAGTGTTAGCTTATTGCATCTTTCCACTAAAGTTATGAAGTATCATCACTCCCGTTTTGCAGATGAGAAAACTGAGGCACAAGAGAGTTTGAGGCACTCGCCCGGTGGTGCCCAGCCAGGAAGCGGCCTGGGGAGTTGGCTTCCGCTGGCCCAGGTTGGAGCTCACGCCCTTCCACCTCGCTTTTGTTCCCTTCCTTTGGCAGATCTGTGTCCTAGCGAGGGGGAGAGCGACGCCGAGGCCGAGAGCAAAGAGGAGCACGGGCCTGAGGCTTGCGACGCGGCCAAGATCTCCACCACCACGTCGGAGGAGCCAAGCCGCGACAAGGGCGGCCCTGCGGTCAAGGCGCACCTCTTCGCTGCAGAGCCCGGCGGCCGGCCCCGGGACAGCGGGCGGCTGGACAAGGCATCGCCCGACTCACGCCACAGCCCGGCCACCATCTCGTCCAGCACCCGCGGCCTGGGCGCGGAGGAGCGCCGGAGCCCGGGGCGCGAGGGCGCGGCCACGTCCAAGGCCGAGGAGGCGCGCGCTCTGCCCGCCAAGGAGGCCTTCGCGCCGCTCACGGTGCAGACGGACGCGGCCACCGCGCACCTGGGCCAAGGCCCCCTGCCCGGCCTCGGCTTCGCCCCGGGCCTGGCTGGCCAGCAGTTCTTCAATGGGCACCCGCTCTTCCTGCATCCCAGCCAGTTCGCCATGGGGGGCGCCTTCTCCAGCATGGCAGCCGGCATGGGGCCCCTGCTTGCCACCGTGTCGGGGGCCTCCACCGGCGTCTCAGGCCTGGAGTCCTCGGCCATGGCCTCCACCGCCATGGCCTCCGCCGCCGCGGCGCAGGGACTGTCGGGGGCGTCGGCCGCCACTCTGCCCTTCCACCTCCAGCAGCACGTCCTGGCCTCGCAGGTATTTATTGTCCTTCCTCCTGCCTCCTCTCCAGCCCGTTTGCAGCCGCCCCCCTCGCGCGCGTGCTGTGCTTCCCTGCCTTCAGATACCAGCCCCTCACCCAGCCCCTTGGTCTAGTAGCTTTAAATAATAATGATCATTGCTATGTGCAGGGTTTACTTCCTAGACTCATCATAACCTTACACTTCCCCCGCCTTCCCCCCAAAAAAACTTGAGAATTTTTTTAAGTTAAGGGATATTTATAGTAGAGTGGGCAGGTACGTAGCAGTAACGATACCTACACACAGCACTTACATTGTGCCGAACACTCTTCTAAGTCCTTCTCTATTCTGACTTCGGGGTACTATTATCACCTCCACCCTCTAGGTGAGGCTCAGGGATGTCGAGTAACTCATCCAAGGTCACACAGCTGGTGGGTGGGGGGAGCGGAGGCTCTGCCCCAGGCAGTCTGACTCCGGAGCCTTTTCTAGGGTCTCTGCTTTTAGCTTCAGAGCTGAAATGTCTTGTAGCCAGCCCTGCCTCAGGAATTAAACAAGGGGGAGACTGAGGCCTAGGAAGGGGAAGGGGCCCCCTGGATGGGCACTGAGCCTTTCCTCCCCATTTGCAGCATTGCCCCTACCCCCATCCCACGTGGGCCGGCCTGCCCCCCAAAGGGTTAATGGTCTGAGCACACGTGGGAAATGTCAGAGCTGAGGGACTGCCTGGCAGCCCCTGTGTGTTCAGACAGCTGGGGGCGGCCTGGGAGAAGTCTCCGCTGGGAAACGCTCTGAACCGGTGAGAGGTTCGGCGGGGTTTTCTGCACACCCTCGCCTCATGTTTTGTCTGAACACATTCGTCTCCCTTCCCTGAGCCAAGAGGCAGGATTGGCCTTCCCCTCCGGGGGAGGAGGGGGTTGGGACAAGGGTAGGTTTCTGGCCTTCCTCCGTTCCTGCCGCCTGCTCCTTTAGCTCCTCCTGGAACCAAGTCGCAGGTGGGCTGTGGGGGCCAACAAGGACTGGTGGTACCTCGGGGCAGGGGACGGAGAAGTGGCTCAGGTCCTGGGTTTTGCTTTCTGCTTCTGCTACCTGCTAGCTGCCTTCCTGAGCCCCAGGGGCCTACCTCGGTTTCTCTACCTGTAGCACCAGCATATCAGGCTGGGTGACTTCTTTGTCTCTGTTTGTAGTAAACGCCGACCCCCACCCCCCACAGTTCCCTTTGGCTTGAGATCTTCCCTGGATTTTTTGCATTTTGAAACTTCCAGGGTTGGGACGGAAGGGTTCGGGAGGAGTCCAAGGAGGAAAAATGAGCATGTCTAATAGTTTCTGCCCTCCGGTGCTTATGCAGCTACTGTGGCGGGTAGACTGACTGTGGCCCCATTTAACAGGCGCAGCAACTGACCCCGATGGGAGAATCTCTAACAGCCCCGTTGGCTGGGCGCCCTACGTAGCATATTGAAGGCATTAGCTCATTTAATGTCCACGAAGTTCCCAATAGTGTATGAATTATTTAATATTTCCCTGTTGTTCTGTTTTCCTATAAGAAAGCTGAGGCACGTGGAGTGACGCAGCTAAGATTTGGATCTAGAGAAATGAGCCTGTGTGCCCTCCCCTCCCCCCACCCGCGCCCGGAGAGAACAGTGACTTGCTCCGGGCCGGCGGCGGTGGCGGTGATGGTTGTGGGGGACACAGACAAGGCTGGCCCCTCCCCACCGCGCGGCCCCTCCCCACCAGGCGGCCCCTCCTCGGCTGACTCGCTGCCTGCGTTTCTCTTCCGTCCCCAGGGCCTGGCCATGTCGCCTTTCGGAAGCCTGTTCCCTTACCCCTACACGTACATGGCCGCCGCCGCGGCCGCCTCCTCTGCAGCGGCCTCCAGCTCGGTGCACCGCCACCCGTTCCTCAACCTGAACACCATGCGCCCGCGCCTGCGCTACAGCCCCTACTCCATCCCGGTCCCGGTCCCGGACAGCAGCAGCCTGCTCAGCACCGCCCTGCCCTCTATGGCGGCGGCCGCGGGGCCCCTGGACGCCAAAGCCGCTGCCCTGGCTGCCAGCCCGGCCTCGGTGGCCGTGGACTCGGGCTCGGAACTCAACAGCCGCTCCTCCACCCTCTCCTCCAGCTCAGTGTCCTTGTCGCCCAAACTCTGCCCCGAGAAAGAGGCGGCCACCAGCGAACTGCAGAGCATCCAGCGGTTGGTCAGTGGCTTGGAAGCCAAGCCTGACAGGTCCCGCAGCGCGTCCCCATAAACCCCTCCCCAGGAAAGTCTCTTCATTCCAGTCCAGTCATATTTGCAGTGCACTTTGTTGGATGTAAAATAAACCACGGGCGTGCAGTGGGCTTACTCTGCTTCCTGCAGTCCTGTCTGGGAAGGGGTGCCGGACTCCCTGGAGAGAATGTGCTAGAAACAAGCCGTGCCTTCTTGGTGTGGTTATATATCCGGGGTCTGGCTCAGATTCTGGGGGCTCAGAAACCTCTGTTGCATTGCGTTGTTGGGGGTGGGAGAACAGGTTCTGTCCAGAGCACCCCGAAGGAGGTTGGCCTGGGAGCCTGGGAAGAGAAAGGTAGCCAGGCCTACCAGGAGGGGGATGTGTTGAAAGGCTTCTCTCCCAGTGCAGATTTATATATATTTTTCCTTCACCGTGTCAAGTGGAAACAAAAACAAATAAAATTAAAAAAAAAAAAAGTACCGGGGGCAAATGAATACATTAACATGATTCTGTTTGTGAAGATTAAAAACTTTATAGTGACTTGCGTATCAGTTCTAAATAAATTACTGAGCAGCATTGTTTTTTGGGGGAGGGGGGGAGTCGCTGCCAGCCTTGTTTAGTCTCTATTAAGGAAATCTGTGTCTTTTTAATATTCTTGTGATGTTTTAAGAGCCACTATAGGTCTCTTCTTGCATGTTCCACAGTGATGTATTTGTGGTTTTTCAGTTTGAATGCTTGCTTTTAGAGAGAAAAGAACATGACCCCACACCTTTCCCCCAATTCTCATTGGCAACCCCAAGGGGGAGGATTTCAGGGGAAGGGGGTGGGGAAGCCACCAAAAAATGGGTTTATTTTATCTAAGCTCTGTAGCAGGATTCATGTCTCCCCTCCCTCTCTCTCTCAGTTCTTTCTCTTTCCTGTATATGCAATAACAAGGTTTTAAAAAAAATAATAAAGAAGAAGCGAGACTATTAGCAAAGTATTTATGTAATTATTTGATAACTCTTGTAAATAGGTGGAATATGAATGCTCGGAAAATTAAACTTTAATTTATTGACATTGTACATAGCTCGGTGTAAATAGGAGTGAGGCTCTCAGGCTCTGTGTTCTGTTTTCCCTGTAGTCAGTTTTAGTTCAAGGTCACAGGATCGCTTTTAAAACTAGAAAACAACACTTTATGCACCAACACCGACACACTTTCAAAAAGAGTTGTCTGGAAAAAAAATTTTTTCTTAATGTCCAAAAGTGAGGGAAAGTGTTCTTGCCTGTTTTACCCAAATTTGGGGAGGCGGTACCACGCCCCGGCCCCACCTTCAACTCCTGAAAATGCAGCAAGCACCCTGTGTATGAGGGGCTTTGGGATGGCTTGGCAGGCCGAGGAGGGGGGGCTCCAGAGGCTGTGGCTTGACTTTCTAATTTTTCTTCTGTATTTGTATTTGCTAGTCTCTGATATCTTCAAAGCGAAGTGGAATTGACTACTGTCTTCAATATTGATGGTGTTTTGAATTGGTGCCTATAGAGATATATTCACAGTCCAAAAGTCAGGTGCTGACAGATGGTTTAAAGACAAAAACTCATGAAGGTATATTTTGTGTTATAATTGTTGATGAGTTCTTTGGTTTTCTGTATTTTTTCCCTCTCTTTAAAACATTGAAATTTCAATAAATTTTTATTGAAATGGTTTGGGCCTTGAGTTAAGTGCTTTCTTTAGGGACCTTTTGGAGTCTCTCTCCTGGCTTCCTCTATTCCCTTCCCTTCGCCTTTAAGTAATTAAGACCGCCCCCACTGAACCAAAATGAGATGTCACTCAAGTTACAAAGCTAAAAACAAAAGTCCCTTACTCCGCGAAGGGAGCGCCGCGTCAATCTGAAATTACTTTTCCTTTAAATTAGGGAGCAAAACGAGAGACGGAAGGGGGCTGATTAGAACTGGATAGAACAGCAATTTCAGATACTTCAGTGTTAATGGAAAAAGAATGCTCTTCTCCCTAAGTCAGTGTTTTCCACACGAATCCGACCACAAATGCGTTGCAGGACTGCGAACGTTTTCGTTTTAGCCTCCCTCTCCCTTTTCACCTCGATCTGGGAAATCCAAGTCAAAAATATCCCTGCACCCGTGTGGAACCCCCCCCCCCCCCCCCCCCAACACACTAACAGAACCTCCTCGCGGTCAGCCCTGTCTTGCCCCCGCCGCGACCCCCAGGTTGTAAGAGAAGCGGACGAGACCGAGCGTCCCCCTTGCGGTCCCCGGTGTCTCCGACTGAACCAGCCTGACCCAAGGCGCCCCGACGAGGCCCCATCCCGAAGTCGCGCCGGCAAAGCTCGGCTAGCCCCGCGCAGGCTTGGCTCTGGCAGCCAGGGAGGAGGCCAGCTTTCCCCCGCCTGGGAAAGGTAACTCCAGGGCGCATATCTGAACCCCTCCGAGGGGAAAGGCACCCAGCCTGCCGACACCCTCCTCCAGTTCTCCCCTCCAACCAGCCTCCAAGCTGTTTGAGGAGTTGCCTTTTGAAGTTCAATTTATCTTTGAAACATTCAATAAAAAATGGTGAGGCCGTGACTGTCTCTTGGTCTCCCAGCCTTCTCGCCCCCAGCTCCATTTCGGAGGGGTGTGTGTGTGTGTGTGTGTGTGTGTGTGGGGGGGGGCGGTGTACGGGAAGCTTCTCGGGGCTTTTCTTGCCCTGAGGGCCGGGACGTGAGGACCCAGCCGGAGCCTGTCGGGCTGCTACCCTCCTCTCCCTCCCTCCCTGGAGCCCGCCAGCCCGGCCCCAAGTCCCTGTCACCTTCGAGCCTCTTGAATGGCCGGCGAGGAAGATCCCCTCCCCTCCTTCACCCTTACTTGGAAGAGGATGAGGTCAGGACCTTCCGTGGGGGGGGGGGGGGCAAAGCCCCTTCCATCTCCAGCCGGGCACGTGGGGCGCCCCTGAGCCTCTCCTGCTCTGCCTCCCGGGGAGGGAGGGAAAAACACCGGGGGTGGGGGCCTGGGGAGTTGTGGGGAGCGGGTTGCTCCGAGGGCCCAGAAATTTCCAGGGCGAGCGTCGGTTGTTGGCCCCGAGACGAGGCGCGGCGCTGCGCCCCGGGAAGGTGCTAGCCAACCGGCTGCGCCCAGAGGCGCTCTCCCGAGCGGGGCGCAAGCAGCCTGGGCCTCCAAGAGGGAAGGAATGCTTTTCTTTCCCGGGCCAGATTTGCAGATTTGCTCACCTCTTCCCCACCTTACCCCACCCCCCAAATTCTCGGACAGTGCTCAGGCGTGTGTCCAGCCTCTCCACAGCTGGCCGGAGTTTCTTTCTTTCTTTTTTTTTAATCTCCTTTGTATCTTATTTGTATATAGTGATGTTAATGAGTAACTCTTGTGGCGCTGATGGACGGGGGGTGAATGGCTCGCAATCTCTCTGGATTTCGTTGCCTATTACTCACCTGGCGCCGGTCGCAATCTCGCCGCGGGCTTTATGGTGGCGGCGGCGGCCGCGGAGGCCACTCGGAGCCGGCGCCTTCGTCTTTTTTCCGGGCTTCGAGTGCCACCTATCTGTCTGGCCCACGAATGAGCCCCGGTGGCCGCCGCTCGCTCCGCGCCCCAGCGCCTCCCGGGTTCCGGAACCTGGGCGGCTCACCTCTGCCCCTTCCCTTTCTCGCCACCCCCGGCCAGCGCTCCCTGTCTCTACCTCTCCCCGCAGCTCCCACCCCCGTCGGAAGAAGCTGCAGTCGTTTCTTTCCTGAATATCACTTTCACTCCAGTTGGGACCTCAGATGAGAAAAACAGTCCTTCTCGCCTCTGGGCTTCCAACGAGCGTAAAGAAATTCAGTGAGGGGACCCTCTCTCCTGATTTGCTATCCAAGTACCTGGCTTCGCGGTGTCCAAGGCCCCAGGAGTTCCCCCGCCCCTGCGGGTCAAGGACTAACCTGAGTTCACGCTGACTGGGTGGAGAGAGAAAGGATCCCTCTCCCTCTAACATACACAACTCAGATTCTACCCTGGATGCCACGTCTTTGCCTCGATGTTGCCTCTTTCTTACTTCGTAACTCTGGATTTTTTCCCCCCTGGTTTTTCCACCGGCCGCGTCTACAGGGTCAAAAGCCACTGCTCGCAGGAGCGGCGGCCCGTCAGGGCAGCGGCGAGGGTCAGCTACCGCAGCCGGCAGGGCCGAGCGACCCGGTGATTTGTAGATTTAAGGTGACAAATACGGGTGCCGGCCTGAGCCCTCCCGCCCCCGCCCCTGGGGAAGGTCGGCTCCCAGCCTGGTTGCGCCCGGGCGTCTGAGACTGGCGGCGGGGACGGGAGGGGGTCGCCTTTTGCTGCGCTTTGAGCCGCGGGTGCAGGCGTCCGGGTTCCTGCTGACCTCCCGGCGCTAATTGCAGAGGCCGAAGGGCGCGCTCCGGCAGCGGCAGGGGTCACGACCCTGCGTCCCTCCTCCCGGGTGCAGGCAACCCCGCAGGAGCGGGGTGCGCGCACGCGGGCGTGCGTGCGTGGGAGAGTGGGTAGAGCCTCCCTCTGCGTCGGTCCTGAAACCCACCCGTTCTGTGTGGGGAGAGTTCCCGGCGCGTAGGCCGTTAAAAAAAATTCCATCCAAGAGGAAAAACCCTTGTCTTGACCTTTCCCCTAAGCCAGCAGACAGGCAGCCGCCATCGGGCTGCCAAGTGGCTAGAAATGCTTCGCATCCGCGTGCTTTCTGCCTCGCTGGTTCCCAAATTTGACCTCACGGCAACCAGCCAAGAAAGTGGCTGTTGTTGGGGCGTAGATGCGAGGCCGCGAGCCGCAACCTGGATGCTTGTATTAATAGCTGTAGATGTTCGTCCCTGCGGGCAGGCTGTTCGGTGTCTGCATTCAAGGGCCAGGTACCACAGGTGTTGGGGTAGATGTGTGTGTGGTGTGCACTTGGTGCGCGTTCATCTGTAGACGTCTCTTCCAATTTGCATTTAGAAGTTCACATCCAAGACAGTTCCGGATGTAGATGCATTTGGTTGTTTTATAATCAAGATGCGTATAATCAAGACGTATATATGTTGCAGATGTTGGCGTTCAAAGTCCACATAACAACAATAATAAAAATAGCTGGCATGGCAGGGCCCGTGCACGTGCCTGGCACTCGGTTAAGCACCCCACCAAAGCCATCTCCTGTCATCCTCACAATTAACCCTGTAAGGTGTGTGCAGCTTTCGTTCCTGTTTTAGAGGGGAGGGAACTGAGGCACAGAACAGGTAAGTCACTTACCCAAGATCGCCTGGGAAACCGGCGCCAGAATTCCCACCGCAGCGGGTTCCAGAATCCGCTGTCCCCACTGTTCCCGATTCAGGTGGAGGTGTGCCGACCTGCGGTGCTTGAGTCCAGAGGGAGAGCAATCTAGGGGCGTGTTCCGGATTTGGGTGTGTGTCTCACACGTGTTTCATACGAAAACCATTGAATTTCTTCGGGATCTGTCGTGCGATATGAAAACGTAGCTTCTATTCCGGCGTCCAGCCCAGGGCCCTGTCTCCCCGGTGCCCCCGAGGGACCCGTGGGGGCTTCTGTTCCCAGGCAGAGGACCCGAGAGGTGGGTTGGGGACAAAATCCCATTTAGAAACGCCTGGAGCGGGGCACTGGAGCAGATCCGAGTTCTCCTCCGGGTCGGTGTCCTGAAGGGCTGGGAATTTCAGCAGCGGCCTGCGTGCCTTGGGGCAGGCGGGGTGCCCATGCTCACTCCAGGGCTTCCCTGTACCCGGGTCTGAGAGTGAGGCTCGGGCTGTGGGTGCCTCTGGCTTTTCTCCACTGGCCTCGGATGCTCCCCCGTGGCCTGAGCATTGGCTGGGCTCTGCAGCCCAGGAGCGGAGGCCAGGGCCTGCCGGGGGGGGGGGGGGGTCTCTTTCCGGGTTCCACCCTGTCCAGCTTCCAGAAACCTAAGCAAATTTACTTTTTTCCTGCCCTCTTTCCTTCAGCTCTTTGGTCCCAGATGGGCGCCGAGGGCTCAGCTACTGGGAAGACAGGTTCTGCTGAGCCATGGGAAAAGGGATGTGGAGGGTGCAGGTCCCCTCCCCCATAGGGAATGGGGTGTCGGGTTTGCGACAGCGCGGCCCAGGTTCTCGGGCCTGCGCAATTGTAGGCCCCGAGCACCCAGAGAACCGGGGCGCAGGTCTGGCTGCATGCTGGGCAGGGTGAAACAAGACATTGCTTGGGTGGGGAGTAGGGGAACCCTCTTCCCTGCTCCCAAGACGCTTGGGGCTTACTGCCCCGCGGCTGGGATGAAGTCAGGCAGCCTGTGTGTCTTGGATTGCGCAGCTGGGGTGCAGCCACTGGAATGGGGGGCTCTGGGAGCTTAGTGAGGGGGCACAGGTACGGTCAGAGCCGCGGGGCTCCCACCACCCCAACCCCCTGGTCCAACGATGCCGGTCAGCCAGTCTATTTGAGCTTTTGAAATGCGATCCCTGGGCCACTTGGGTTTCCAGCTAACGACCCGAGCTCTGGTTTCGGGTTGGGGAATTGTCCCCAGAAGAGAGGGTGGCTTCCCCAGCCCCACGCCAGCCAACCCCGGCCAAGATGCTCCTCCCGCGGTGCCGCAGGCCCAGGAAGGCGGGCCCCCTGCCCCTTCGAGGTCCCCAAAGCGTCAAGGACATCCCAGGCACGGAACTGAAACTTGTGCGTGAACTTCCTTCCTGCCATTTTTGCCCCTGGCGGTCCA